CGCACGGTCGTTTTACATGGTTTCGCACGACTCGAGCTTTACATTGACGATTTTAGGATTAAGACTATAAACGAGAGAGAGAGAGAGAGAGAGAGAGAGAGAGAGAGAGAACCGTTGTAACGTAGAATCCGCAGTTGCGACTATAAACTGGTAGAATTCTTGATGCTTGTGCAATCATCGATCGATTTTGTATGCGAGTTTACTGTTACACTTTTACTATGTCCCCTATCATCGAGCACGTTGTTACGACGTCAACGACGTACCCGACGCAAGACAAGCGTTGGTCGGATTAAATACTTAACTACTTGAACACCGATAGACCGTATGAATAGGGATTTTCGAGTGTGAAAAGTTCATTTAGACGTTGGGCGTAGAGGGAATGCTGTTGAAGTGTTCCCATGTTGTACAAGTTGATCGAGTGCAGATGTGCAGATGTGCAGATGTTTAAGTAAAAGAAGATTACTACACGCAATCGCAGCATGATCTAAGAGATTGCGTTCTAAAAAGGTGTTACGAATGACTCGGTGGCAGATCCCCGGCTAGGAGTGTACCTGATTTACCGTGTGTTCTCGCTGAACTCTGGCCTAGTAGTCGCGCATAGACTCTGAACGGCAAAAGTGGACGATTTGGGAAGAGGAGATACGATTATTCAGACTCGTACTATTATTATATATATATTATTATATATTATTATTATATATAATATATATTATTATTATATATTATATATATTATTATATTATATATAATTTAGCTCGTTCTTATAGTCGCCGATTGCCAACAACTCTAAAAACGAGACGCTCGAATTATCGTATCCCCTCTTCCCAAATTGTCCATTTTTGTGTGCGATCTGAGCGCGAATTAGGGAGAAATTACTGTACCAGTGAATTATCTATCTTCGCTGGCCGTTTTGTTCTGCAAGTTCGAGCCTCGTTTCGTTGGCCGATCTCGCGTAACTAATCGCAACGAATCGGTACTTGCAACGGCAACCTGAACGACTTGACACATACACGCACACACAGACAGACACTTCCCGGAACCGTAAAATATATCTGAAACGAAGCCTTCTTCAAAGAAATCCTTCGGACGAAAGTTCGAAGGTTATCAAAGTTCTGTCGGTTGTTCGCATTCGTTTCAACTTGAGCGAAGGGATCGAGGTCGCGCCAAGGTCAACACGAACACCCCGCTTCTCAACGTGCCGCATTCTTTTTTCGTGAAAAGCGACTCGAGCTGGTAGCTCCGATTAATAGCATTACCTGCGGTGTACCAAGCGAAGATTACATGATTGCTACACGCGCACACGTACACGTTACAAAAACGATACAAAATTCGGTCATCGGAATGATAGCGGCATCGCATCTTTCGATGCTGCGTCCTAGAGAATTTTCATCGAAGGACGAGCATGATGAGAGAATGAGATGCGACCGTGTGATGCCACTGCGATCTTGTAATGTCATTGCGACTTCGTTGATATCTTGGTCGTACTACTCAAGGTCGAACGGATCTAACCATTTAATAGAACGTTTATACTTAAAACTCGTCGACTTTTGGAGGATCCGCTGGAATATAGCTAATTTGCTATAACAATTTGCTAAAATGTTACGCCATTTTGGGAAAGTTAGGGGGGTTTACGTCGAAGTGTCGTTGAGATTATAAGATGATCTGCTGCGACTCTTTATAAATGCAAGTGCATGTTTTACCTTCTCGAGAAAATATATATTTTCCTTTTCCCAGATTTATTCGCAATTTTTTTAGGGTTTCGTCTATTCGTTCTTTTCTCGCCTATAATATTCTCCGCTTTCTCTGCCGACACAGAGACAGCTTTTCAGATCATGTTTTCAATCTCGGGCTCAATGATGCAGCCTGCATACAATGAGAGTGACGAGCGTCGTTTAAATAGGTCGTGTAAATCAGCTTTTGCCGCAAAATAAAGCGTATAAAACAACAGTGACTTGTTTCTTGATTGCCATTGTTTCGATAAATCGACGTTGTTCCATTCGCTAAAGCACCCAGAGCTCCAGTACAATGCGAATGATAGTCGATTCCTATGAGTAGAAGTGCTTTATAAGGTTGTCCCAAAAATGTCTCGTAATCCGGAAATGTGGGGGTTCCTGAGGTAATTTCGAGTAACTTTTTCCTTAGCGAAAATGCGATCCGCGGTTTCGTTTACGAGTTATTAACGAAAAACACTGGCCATTCGGAGCGCCGGCCGTCTGACGCAACGGCAGTGGTCGCGTGGGCGGGGCGTCAGCCGTACGCGATCTCTCATTGGTCACAGTTTTTCGCTAATAACTCGCAAACGAAGCCGCGGATCGCATTTTCGCTAAGGAAAAAGTTACTCCAAATGACCTCGGGAACCCGCCACTTCCGAATTGCGAGACAATTTTGGGACACCTTGTAGAGCGTTCCCATGGAATCAGCGACGGCTCGAAACTATCACTATGGATTTTGGATGCGGTGACACAAGGATACGACTATTTACAGGAACCGTGGCGACGACTAAGTGTTGCCGATTTCTCACTGACTTCAGAATTTCGAATCACACGTGTCTTTTTTAACGCACGTGTACACGTGTATTCCGGTACACTAACATCTACAGCGAAAAGTTGTTCAGAACGATGGCCTTGGCAAGACATACTCTAAGGTCATCCGAGCTGACTCCATTTAAACGTGATGTTCGCCACAATTTTTCGCCGAGGGACCGGCCATCCTCGACCCGTGATTTCTTCGGAATTAATAGAATACAACGATAATTAAAATTCGACCTTGGAAAGGATCTTGTCTTAAGGACAATGTTGCGCGAACATTCTTTCACGGATTACAGATTAGAAGGTGTTGGAGTACACCTAGAGTAATCAAGCTCGAACGTACATCTTTACACCCTGTGTCATCTATATAGCTTCGACTTCATTGTCAGCGCAAAATCGATGAGACACACACTAGCCGTAATCCGTCCCGCATCCTTATTTACACGTAAGACGTACCCGAAGCAAACCGTTTCGCTTGGCCAAAAAGCCAATGCAGAAATTTTCAGCGAGATACAGATTCTCGACCAAGATTTCTGCAGCCGAAACTTAAACGAAACCGCGTGTTTCTACTCGGATTGCACTTTACATTCGCGTTCTTCGTCTTCGTGCAAAAAGAAATTTCGACGCTGTAATCTCGGCTGTTACGGATCTTAAGATTTCGCGTGTTTTAGAAGTTATAAATTGTTCGCGCGTTACTCGCAGTAGGAAAACGATGCTTCGGATAAAATCGACGGCGAGGCGCGCACTATGGCGCATTAATTCGAAAGTGGCAACCCAGTTTCGCATTCGTATCCTGGAATCACGGGAGCGCGCTCTCTAACAGTAACACTGAGAATGAAAAGTATTGATTGCCAGCGAGAGGATGCGAACGTGGGCGAGACGCGAATATGGTTGTGCTGTCTAAAGTATCATCCCGTCATCTGTTCTGCAACCATACGCGTGCCGTTTCTCGCTCGCTCTCTCACTGTTTCCCCTAAACACACTCCGTCGAATTTCATATATATATTTTTATATATATAATATAATAATATAATAGTATAATAATATAACAATATAATAATATAATATAACAATATAATAATATAACAATATAATAGTATATATATATAATAATAATAATAATAGTACGAGTTTAAATAATAGTATCTTCTCTCCCCAAAGTGTCTATTTTCGTGTACAATCTGAGTGACAATTAGGGAGACTACTGTAATTGAGCATCCCCTTCTGATCCCTCGTGACGATAGCATAGTCTTCGAATCCCTAAACGACATCGCTCTGCGCGACTATAAATTTCTCTGATCATCGATCATTCTTTCCTGCTCGATTCCTATTTGCTTCAGTTTTTCAATTAGAAGTCTGCCAGCCGCAGAATCGAATGCCGCCTCGAAGACGATAAATGCCACGTAAAGCCTTGGCTCGACCTTCTTTCAGCTTGCCGGCAACGAAACCCCTTTGTTCCATCCGTTTCTCCAAGCTTGCGTAAAGAAAGTTCGCTATAATCTTGTAGAGCTTGTATTTAAAAGAGATATTCCTCCGTGTTTCGCTGCGTCTCTTTCGTCGCCTACTTTGCGCAGCGGTGTTGAATCGCAACTGCCCTAAGCCCGGTTTAGGCTGTGAACCCACTATCTCGGCGATTCAACCGGAAGAGCCCTATAGAACTCCGCATCCCTTAGTCCATCGAGCGGCCTGGTGCCGTCTCCTTTTTTCGTCCGCCTTGATGCAGAGATGCAACTTCTTCCAGCGTTATGTTTCCGTTTAGTTTCGCTCCAGCGTCCTCCGTACTTCGATGGAACTCCGCGGGTTCTCCCTACGCTCTATTTCGGACTCCCCGCCACCCTCGGCAGTCCTTGGAAATGTCGGATCCATGAGTCATCTTCGATGTCATATGGATCATGCCACGTTTACATTTCGAAATTTTCATTTCATTTCGGCTTTCGCGGCTGTCGTTCCTAATTTTAACTATTTGACGCCTCCACCCCCATTGCTCTTCCCCTATCTGCACGCCTAACCGCTGCTTTATTGCGCCAATCAAGGTCCAATTCAACATTCTTTAATAAATTCATTACGCTGCAGTAATTTCTTTCTAATTCATCCTTAGTGAAAGTTCTCAATAGTCGTCGCGACAAATTCACCCCCTTCGATCACGTCACAGTTCCGAGAAAGGCGGCAAATCGTGATTGCCGCGATTCGTCTATAGATCAACATCGCGAACTGCCACGTGTCATTCGGTTGGTCTGACCTCTTACGCAAAGTCGCGATAATATATATGTTAATATACTGATTATTTTGTGCGTATAATCGCTTGAGTCCCCCAGGGGTCATTGAAAAAACACGGTCGGAAGATGCCGAACAGCGTGATAGCGCTTATCTTAATACGCGTACTACTTATAAATATTTCGAGTTTTGTTCGGACGAAAATCATTGAGAAGATAATAGTGAAATACAAAATCTGTTAGTTGTATTATTTAAAACAAAAAAAGCAGCTGTTCGAGCGACATTCGACTTGAATTCCTTGGAATTCCTTTGAATTTCGTTTCGTCGACAGAGTCGAAATCTAATTAACGCAACAAACCCCATAGTCATTTCGATTTCCTAATGGCGTTCTCATTGTGTCCGGCGTACACTTTGTTGTCATATTCGCCGCCGATCTATCCCGCCCTACTCGCGGTAATTGCGTTTACTCTTCTGATCGATCGGTTGGCAAGAGGACCGAACCAGCCACGAATAATTACATCACACGGTCGACTTTCCACCGTTGAGAAAACACACCAAAAAGGAATTATTCTATCCCATCGTGTGTCCCCTCTTCTTAATTCGATTAACACCGTTGATCGCATTGCGTTCAATTCCCGTTTGCTTTGCCGAAGCGAGAAGAACCATATTTTTCTCCTCTACTTTTTCCAGAGCCGCCAAAGACCTAGAGGAACGTCGTAGCCACTATGAACCTTCGCTGGGACCCGACATTCCGGACGACGTCGACCACAGTTTCAACCTCGAAGATGACTACTTTAGGCCGCACTTTCAAAGAGTCTCGATACACGGGGGCGACACTTCCGGCGTACGTACGATCTTCGATTTCCGTTTTGACCAGTTAGCTGTTAAAATATCGGATCGAAATGTAGGTTCCATTTTATACAATTAACAATTTTATTACTGGTATTAATGTAATTCTTCTAGCCTGTTTACCGTTTTCCTCGTATCTTGTAATTCGTCAAATTCATCCGGAACGATTGAGCTTTCGCGTTTCTCAACTCTTCTTCATTCGTATATTTAGTAGACGACGCCACGCGTATAGTATGCATGCGAGCCTGATTATACTACACGTAATGTATGTTACGTGGTAAACCAGATCTTGCCTTCTCAAAGTTTCTATGAGCAGAAACCCCAAGAATGCTGGTTTACGTAGGAAACCTTAGTTAACAGAGCTATCAGCCTCTTCCGTTACCACTTCCAAGTTTCATCATTTTATCGGAAGCTCTTTAACCTTTCGGACACTGTCACTCTTGCTTACAGCTGTGACCTTTGCTGCGGCTTTGTATGTACAGTAAATTCTCCCTAATCGACGCTCAGATTGTGCAGAAAAATTACGGTGGTCTAGTCGTTACATTTTACAGAAAGCTACGTATAGCGTTCCATTTGAAAAATTACAGGAAACCAAAATCCACCCAGCTTGCTCTGCAACCGAGCAACTTTTATCCAGACGTTGCCAAAAAATAATGCCAGCTTTAAGGAGTGAGTGAACGGCGACAAGCCGGGGCGATCCTCGCCAGATAGAGTGTGTCATTATCTTCTGGCAACCNGGCGTACACTTTGTTGTCATATTCGCCGCCGATCTATCCCGCCCTACTCGCGGTAATTGCGTTTACTCTTCTGATCGATCGGTTGGCAAGAGGACCGAACCAGCCACGAATAATTACATCACACGGTCGACTTTCCACCGTTGAGAAAACACACCAAAAAGGAATTATTCTATCCCATCGTGTGTCCCCTCTTCTTAATTCGATTAACACCGTTGATCGCATTGCGTTCAATTCCCGTTTGCTTTGCCGAAGCGAGAAGAACCATATTTTTCTCCTCTACTTTTTCCAGAGCCGCCAAAGACCTAGAGGAACGTCGTAGCCACTATGAACCTTCGCTGGGACCCGACATTCCGGACGACGTCGACCACAGTTTCAACCTCGAAGATGACTACTTTAGGCCGCACTTTCAAAGAGTCTCGATACACGGGGGCGACACTTCCGGCGTACGTACGATCTTCGATTTCCGTTTTGACCAGTTAGCTGTTAAAATATCGGATCGAAATGTAGGTTCCATTTTATACAATTAACAATTTTATTACTGGTATTAATGTAATTCTTCTAGCCTGTTTACCGTTTTCCTCGTATCTTGTAATTCGTCAAATTCATCCGGAACGATTGAGCTTTCGCGTTTCTCAACTCTTCTTCATTCGTATATTTAGTAGACGACGCCACGCGTATAGTATGCATGCGAGCCTGATTATACTACACGTAATGTATGTTACGTGGTAAACCAGATCTTGCCTTCTCAAAGTTTCTATGAGCAGAAACCCCAAGAATGCTGGTTTACGTAGGAAACCTTAGTTAACAGAGCTATCAGCCTCTTCCGTTACCACTTCCAAGTTTCATCATTTTATCGGAAGCTCTTTAACCTTTCGGACACTGTCACTCTTGCTTACAGCTGTGACCTTTGCTGCGGCTTTGTATGTACAGTAAATTCTCCCTAATCGACGCTCAGATTGTGCAGAAAAATTACGGTGGTCTAGTCGTTACATTTTACAGAAAGCTACGTATAGCGTTCCATTTGAAAAATTACAGGAAACCAAAATCCACCCAGCTTGCTCTGCAACCGAGCAACTTTTATCCAGACGTTGCCAAAAAATAATGCCAGCTTTAAGGAGTGAGTGAACGGCGACAAGCCGGGGCGATCCTCGCCAGATAGAGTGTGTCATTATCTTCTGGCAACCGCGTTCGTGTCGCCAATAGTTTACGGGGGCTTTTCTTAGTGTCCAATTAAGGGAGAAAATATTGTAGAGTCTCTTTTATTAGGTTTTTGTCATTCTAATGAAAATTATGTTATTTATGAATGTCAAAAACTCGATGACCATGTACTGTAATAATATGCAAGAATATTTGTAGTTACCAATGTATATATATGTATATGTATACATTTCAGGTACCTTTGGAAGATCTCGAGCAGGCGTCGCAACTATTGGTGCGAGCACTGGCCATGCGTGAGAAATATATGAACAATTCGAAGCAGAGTTACCCTTCCACCACCGCTCGGTTTTTGCGCAGCATCGACGAAAGACCAATAAACAGTGGCGATGAGGTCCAACATGACGACCGTAAAGCCATTGCAGGTATGCAGATAACATTTGACATTTGGTATGTTGTGTGCTTTGTGTACGATCATCGAAATATGTACTTTTTCTTGTGGCAACTTCTGTGTGTACATGTTAACACTAACTAATAGAGACTAACTATCATAATGAAGGTTGTCAAACGTTAAATATTCACCTTACAGGTCCCAGTACCGATTTTCATGATCCTAAAAAAAGAAAAAATTACAGAAATTAAAAATTTATGTTTTTATAAGTACTATTTAACACAACAAATCAGTTGCAACAATTGTCCACTTTTATTTACCATCTGAGGGACAATTGGAGAGAATTTACTGTAAACGGTGTCTTTCTTCCTCGACGTTTGATCATCCTTACTCCAAGGCCTCTTAAAATTCCAGGGTTGATGGAAAAAGCACAGTAAACTGTTCCTTCGTGCTCTCCGTCAAACGTAGGCCCGTTCCTCCGAATGTCCATCGAACGTAGGCTTGTTTTCTCGCATTTTCCGTCACACAGCATAACGTTGCCTTTAATATTTCATATTTAGTTAAAAATTGTTTCTTTATTATAATTACAATTTGTGCAATGAAATAAGATAAATTACTTGCTACATATAATGAATAAATATGGTCTAAGTATTGCTAATGCCTTGTTTTCTTTCTATTTAATTGTTAGATCATCCGGTACATGCGCCAGCGTCTAGGGGAGATCCATGGGAATGCGAGTTTCCCCCGTCGAAAAATTACAAAATTGCACCTGTCAACGGTGTTTTCAATGTATACGCTAGCGAAGAAGATTACGAGAACGAAAAACCGATCCCCTATTCGTATCCGGATCTGGCAACCTTTGTCAGAGACATGAACCTTCTCTGCGTAATGATCGCCGATGGCCCCTTGAAGTCGTTTTGCTATAGAAGACTGAGTTATCTTTCATCGAAATTCCAATTGCACGTACTACTGAACGAGCTTAAAGAACTAGCGAGTCAAAAGGCAGTTCCGCACAGGGATTTTTACAACATTAGAAAGGTCAGTATGCGAAATATATCTCATCAGCATAATCAGATGAACACCTACAAATTCAATACTAATATTATTATATGTGTATATATATATACGTATAGATTACTCGCGACCGATCTTTACCGAGTTTACACGTCGAAGAATCATGACTGAGTTTCCTGCGACATTCATTTTCAATTCCGAGCCCCGGGGCTATTAAGGAGAATTTACTGTACATTGGTTATTTTAGAACAGAATAATGATGTCATGCCATGACAGCGCACAGGCATCCATCAAATTAGGTTTTAACTTCTTAACGTTTATACGAGACTATTTACCCGAATAACACCTTTTCTGTACTTTTTCCATCACTATCGACAATACGGACGATCGACTTCCAGATACTTTCGCAAAGTTGCATCATCCTGAAAGAATGGATTTTACCGATGTAATTAAACATTACAAAAACTGATTATTTAAGGCGTCTAAAATCTGTGTACCGTTTACAAAGAATACCGCATTTTTTCGGCTATTAAAATTTTCGGCTACAATCGACATACCTAATTGTAAGAAGATGAATGAATATTATTAGCTGATTATTATTATTGTAGGTTGATACACATATTCATGCAGCTTCGTGTATGAATCAGAAACACCTCCTCCGATTCATTAAAAAGACTCTGAAGAATCATGCGGATGAAATTGTTACGTGCTCGAAAAACGGAGAAACAATGACTCTCCGTGAGGTGTTCCAGTCGATGAATTTAACTACATACGATCTCAGCGTTGATATGTTAGATGTTCACGCAGTGAGTACACGCTAATATTTCACTCGCAACACGATTTCGGTTTCACAATAATCTAGTGTATAGATATAATTAAATATGTAATTCTCTCCAGGATAGAAACACGTTCCATAGATTCGATAAATTTAATGCCAAGTACAATCCTATTGGAGAAAGCCGACTTCGTGAGGTCTTCTTGAAAACGGACAATTATCTAAATGGTAAATTCTTTGCAAGCATCATTAAAGAAGTTGCCAGTGACCTCGAAGAATCGAAATACCAAAATGCAGAACTACGTCTCTCAATATATGGCAAAAATCCAGAAGAATGGGACAAATTAGCGAAATGGGCCATTCAGAGCAACGTCTATTCGGATAATGTCCGCTGGCTTATTCAGATTCCTCGACTCTAGTAAGTGGTTCTTATATCTTGTTCTACAGAGTTCATACATACTCAAATAAAAATTAATTAGCTATCCTATTATTAAAAAAAATAATTTCAAATTTATTCATGTATATGGCATTGTATATTCTTGGCAATGCTATTTTCTAGATAGAAAAAACAATAGATATGTCTACTGCAAATAATAAATACTAGCCAAAGATGTACAAATTTTGTACGTATACAGTTAACATATATTGATTGAAAATTGTTATTTATTTTTAGTGATATCTTCAAATTGAACAAATTGATGACGAACTTCCAAGAGTTTTTAAATAACATCTTTCTTCCTCTTTTTGAGGTAACAAATGATCCCAATTCTCATCCAGAATTACACAAATTCCTCCAATATGTAAGTAATTTTAGACACGTACCGTTAAAAGAATTGTAAATAAACTACATTTATACTATTTAACCTTTAGAGGGCGGGCCTGACCACTGTAGTGACCAATTACTTTGTCAACTTTACGTGTGCCGCATAGGTTTAACTTCTAATGTTTAGACTTCTTAATGGAAAAATATTGCCCTTCTAGAGGTTAACACCTGTTGTTCCTAAACATCAATGCGATGGTCCAGAAATTTTGTTTCTTTATAAATATACCAATATACAATTCGATTATTATTGTTATGAAATTAACTTAATCATTATTATAGGTAATAGGATTCGATTCGGTCGATGACGAAAGTAAACCTGAGAATCCTTTATTTGATAAAGATGTTTGCCCACCAGCAGAATGGGATGATATCGAAAATCCTCCTTATGGATATTATCAATACTATACTTACGCTAACATGACTGTTTTAAATCATTTTAGAGCGTAAGCTAATCATTACTTTTTTGTTTTATTATTATTTTTTTTTTAATAGTGCCAGCATAATGTATGAAACAATATTTTACAGTGAACAAGGTTTTAACACCTTCGTCCTGAGGCCTCATTGCGGTGAAGCTGGCCCAATTCAACATCTTGTGTGTGGTTTCATGATGGCAGAAAATATTTCCCATGGCCTTTTACTTCGTAAAGTACCAGTACTACAGTACCTGTACTACTTGGCACAAATTGGAATAGCAATGTCGCCTCTCAGTAATAATTCTCTCTTTTTAAATTATCATCGCAATCCCCTTCCAGAATACTTAGCGAGAGGATTATGCGTAAGCTTGTCTACAGACGATCCACTTCAATTCCACTTTACCAAGGTTAGTGTAATACATTCAATTTTCAGTATATTCTCCCATATTGTCAGTGTTTGCGGTGCATCTTTTTCTACATTAATTACCAGTACTATTTCACTTTTAATACTTCATTCAAATTGTTTATTAGGAACCATTAATGGAAGAATATAGTATTGCTGCTCAAGTATGGAAACTCAGTTCATGTGATATGTGTGAATTAGCACGTAATTCTGTACTTATGAGCGGTTTTCCACACAAGGTATGTCTTCGTATATATATATTTACATACATCTGTGTTATGAAATTATGATTTCCTTTTGACAAGGATAAATCGTCATTTTTCTTAGAACGTGAGCTCTGATTAAAAAATTTATTTAATCTTTCGAATGTCATGAAAACTGAAGGTATTATTTTACAGAGCAAACAATACTGGCTTGGACCAAACTATACTAAGGAAGGAGTAGCTGGTAATGATATTACCCGAACAAATGTGCCAGACATTCGAGTAGCCTATCGTTACGAAACATTAGAAGACGAATTGTCGAATATTTTTAAAGTCTTTGAGGAACCTTTCGCCTTTCCGGAACCTTAGTCATTATATACATATTACTCTGTCTCATGTCCATGAAAAAAATTGCATTGAAAACTATCTGCAGCGCAAACTATAACTAATCATGTGATTTATACTAACAATCTTTACGGACTTTAAATGACTCCTTTGTAGAAGGTATTCTCTTTATTGAATGAATGACGATATAGAGATTATTTCTTTAACGCTAGTTGTAAAACCATTAAGGACAACTTAAATGATCTTGTTTAGATAATGCGTGCCCATTTATACAGTTCGCCCGCACTTAAGTGGCGCCGTCAATCATGTATTTCGTAAAGTATCGAAGCTACGAAAAACATGTTTACATGGAACACCCTTATCGCCCCACGCGTGCCAATACGTACTAACACGTGTCATAACGTGCCATATCTCTACCTTCGCTAATCATTCTCTCATAAATATCCATAATGTGCCGACTAACAGTCACAAGTATCCTCTTTCGAATTTTCCCACAGGCTAAAAGCTCTACCATAAATTCTTTCAAAGCCTGAATCATCTTTCTTCGACTTCATTAAAAAATTGTCGACGCTAACATATAGTGAGAAGTTTTAAAAGGCGTTTGAATACTTTCGTGTCTCACTGTACATGTTACAAGGGACCCATTTGTTGGCAGATAAGTATGTTTTTATACTACTAATTTTAGGGGTCATATCGAGAAACTTCATTTCTCGATAAAATATCATTTTCTAATATATTTTTACATGGATTTAACAACGTGGAATATGACGAAACTTGATTTTGATTGGTTTCCAAGATGTGCTTACAAACTTATGGAACAGATAAGAAAATAGTAGCAAAATAGTGGAAAACACACCATTATCAGTTCCGTTTGTATTGAAAACTATTCGAAATTAAATGCATATTTGTAGGTTGCTAGAATCTATGAAAACATTGACAAAAGATGGACGTTGACTCACCAACAGATGTGTCTCCTTGAGTTAATCGAATATCCATGTAAAGATTTCGTTCGTATCCTCAGTGTTTTACAAGATAATTGACTGTACTATTTAAGCGCGGTTACGCTGTGTGCTATCGATAATTTTATAAGTATACGATCTGTATGTATCGGTAATTATTTGAAAACTATCTGTTGACATTTTAAAGTATTCCAAATACAAACAGATACAGAATGCATGACTGTATGTATTAGATATCTTAGGCCCTTACGCACCATGTAGTGATCTTACTATGTCACAGTGGTGACTCTAGTTTGCGTTTTATTTTGCTTGGAGGATCCCTTCCTGAAATATCTATTACATACTGGTGAATTCTTCTGTATATTTTTGCAGATAAATACATATAAATTAAGTTACAGGGGAATGTCTTTCACTCATATTTCAGAACTTCAGTATAAGACAACGATAGATTTTAATGTGAAATTTTCATATATGTTGACCAATATGATAGTAGTTAGGTATTAGATAGGGTAAAAGTTTAAACTGTTCCAGTTTCCAATATGCATACTAAAAATTGGATGTTAATATACGAATTAAACTAATCTATATATTGTATTACTTTTACGTTGCAAATATATAATATACGCTAAAGAAACAGTTCATTTGTTATGTCTCAGCTGCAGTAAAATTGTCAAGTCCGACTTTTTGAATTTAGTTTTAGTTTCTTATCTTTTTGTACATTTATACAGTCAGCGTATATGATGGTTGCTTTTAACAAGTACATCTAAGACTTATAAACGAATTAGCTCTTTTGTAGATCGTATACCTTATTGTAATGTTTATAAATTTTTATTATGACAAATGTGTATACATTACATTGGAGAAAACTAAATTCAATATTTTCTACACTTTAATCGACACCGAATGAATAACGAAGATCGTAAATTTTACCCTTAACTCTAATAGCATGCAAACGACTACGTATTTACTTTCCACAAACAATTTACTGTCAATGAGCTTTTACTGGCAAATATTTAATAATGGCGATATACAAGTATATATTCACACACCACGTCTTAATATCGAACACAAATTGTTACTAAGTAGAAAGAATGTATTTATTGTACATACTATATTCTACGAAAAAAAAACGAAATATACCTATATTGTTAAAAGATATGTGTGATCAATAGAAAATTACAATTGTGATCGAACACAATCGCATCCAGTCAGCCGGTCGTCAAAAATATTCGAACACCAATATAATTTCGTCCTTTGAGCTTTATATGTTAAGTAAATGTATAATTACCACGTACAAAAAGGTATTTAATTATGTTAGTAATGTTAATTATGTTAATAACACAACAATTTTCTGTCGAGAAGATATTAGGACACTTTACGAATCTAAGTTATAAAACAGAAATAATAAATGCGATATAACACCGATAAATTTTTGTGATGCTACTGTGATATTACCCTCTTTGATCTGAACGACTCTTTTTCGAAGTACAATCATTTCGCAATTTAGAAACGGCCATTTTATATTTAATCAATATTCAATTAATCGCAATCGATTTTCGTAACATAATATAACTTCGTATAGCAATTGAAATAAGATTTTAGGAGAAAGTAGAGTAAATATGGAATAAAATTGAACAGAAGATAAAGTTTGTTTAAATTGAGGGAAGCTAGCATAAGCTAAAGTCAAAATCGTGACTGAAAGGACTTGAAATTATAATAAAAAATTTAAATAAAAGGGGAACATACATTTGGGTAGACCTCCAGAACCAGGCCTTCGAGGCACCCTCTTGGAATGAGGGACAGCGTGACTGGGAAGTACCTCGCTGCCACACTCTCACTCATTCCAAGTGGTGGCCACTTATGGAAGAGGAACCCCTGGAACTCGACTGTTCCCTCCGGTGATCGCGCGGCAACTGGCTGCATGGCTGCAACTGAGGCATGGCGCTGAGCCGAACAGGTAACCAAGGGTGGCGGTGGTTACCTTCCCCTTGACTTCGATGAACGTTGATCCCTGTGATCGATAATTTTGATTATTTAATATTTGTAACAACTTATTTTTTGCAAGGAAGCTATTGAACGCTCGCGAGACTATACCATTAAAATTTTTTTTATAAAAACTACCAACTAGATTTCATTAATATCTGCCAGACCGCGTCGTTGCAAATGGAAATCCGTGGACCCGAATTCCAGCACAGTAGCCGCGAAATGTTGACCGTCGCGCGTGTCGTTCGCGCGTCGCCGTCGCCGCGCCGTTCAATATCGCAACGCGTGCGCTTTTCTCCGGTAGAAGTCAGTGGCCGCCACCCCAATACTACTGCTACCTCTCGGGGTACAGCTCGACAGCACGAAGTTTACTTTTCGCTATTATAGTTATATGCTACGCGCAGACAAATTCCAGTCTAGAATGCAGTAAAGTTTTGTTTTACTATGAGCCCGGCCGAAATATCCTGTGATGGGAAATGTTCAATTGAAGTGCCATTCGCATCGGGAAAGAAATAGAGGATACACGAATTGGAGTTCGCCGGTTACTGTCATAAGTATCAAAGTTTATTATTTATCCGTGTCCTTCGTCTCTGTGCAACATATTTATGTATATGCTATCCGATCGTGCTAAACCCGGTCGATCGAATTGTCGAGGGCCGTTTACTCTGTCGTTCCTTCCCGGAGGACCCGTTCGCAAAACAATCCCGAGGACACATTAAAATTGCAACAGAACTCTGTTCGAATTTCGTTCGGTCGAGCATCGAGAAAGCCGTCGATTATTATTGTTATCGCGCGTGAAACCGTTTTACGTAGCTCGATGATTAATATGCTTGTAAATCGCTTGTAAATAAGAAGCGGTAAATAAGAAGTTTCAACAATTAATTGCGGGACTCGCGAATTAATAATAGATGACAGTTCGTGCGAGAGGAGAACCGCAGCAACTCGATGCTCGCCGGATCGAATATACGTCGAATTCGAGATGTACGTACTCGCCGATCAATAATCCTTTGATTTTTCAAACACGATCTACAGATGAGAGAATTGGAGCTCATAATGAATAATTCGGGTTGCGCACTGTGCATACTCGAACCGCCGCCGGATATACTTCACATACCGCCGCCTCCGTTCCCGGCTATTTTCCAACAAAGTAGCAACGGCTTTCATTCGCAATCGGATGTATTGTCGTTTCCACCCGACCTCAATGACAGTCCGTGCAAGCATTTTTGCGACCGTCGATCCGAAGGAGTGCAATACATAGAGATACCCCAACAAGGTGGTCCTCTTTCTCGATTTCTCTCATTTCTCTCGACGTATGACCATAGAATTTGTCGTCATTGGAATCGAGAAATTAATTAATAAAATAATATGTGTAATTTTAGGTACAGTTTTTGACGACACGTGGCTATTGGTCTTAATATCATCCTGTGTGGGTGTGATTTTCATAGGAATAATATTGGCGACGTTGCTCCTGAAATGCAAATTGTAAGTAGAACTTGAGTTACTGTTGCTTTATATAATTAATATAAATTACATAATAAATTATATATATATTAATAATCACACCCGGTCATTATTAAAAGGCAAAACAAACCTTTGATTCGTTGAACAGTGTTATCTTTAACTTGACGTCTTATCTACGGAGATCTTGATCATGATTTCGAAAATAATTATTCCTAACAATAAGTGTACATTCAGTCGGTATGCAAATTCTAATATGCACATTTTGGTCTGCGTTCTACTACTATTTGTATCAATTCATTTAACAATTATCCATTTATTAATCATTACCGATTTGCTTCTCGCTTTTGGCATTATATTATATTATATTATACTATATATACTATATATTATATGACATTAGTGACATACGCGTTTAGTACTTGGTGCTAGTACTGAATCTTCAAGCATCGAAGTGCATCGGTGTCTACGATTTGCTTAATTCGTTCGTTTCATGCATGATTGCAAACCAATCCAATTCAGGCTAAATGTGGAATAAAGTGGAATAAAATTCCGCATACGAAATACTCACGCAATATGAGGAGCGCGAGTGCCACGCCTCCTGACACCCGTCGCGCGTCTAATCATTAATTAATAATTACATCTCACCGATTTCGATGATTTTTTAACATGTGAAACTCGACATTCTATGCAACTTTTTCCTACACTGTACATGTCACTGCCGCTCGAGTTTGCTTTCTCAGATGTTAACAGAGAAGGAAAATTGTTGCTACCATAATGATTCTACTGTACTGAATCCTGCATATAGAGACGATCACGACAAGGTGTCACGAAAATATTGGAGCATGTCTAAAAACGGAATAACTCCTTTTTTTTTTAAATTAGACTGAAAGAATTACTTCAAATCGCCTTAGGAATCATCCCTTTCCGGGAGTAACGGGAGTTCTGCGACATATGACCAATACGAGCAAAATAATTGCCATTGGAATCCATTGGCACCGTCCAATCCCATCTGCAAGGTTCCCCCTCCACCACTAGTAGCACATTCCGGATCACCAATGGTCGGTAGATCGAAGCGCGGTGGTGGGGGTTGAGCGCTGGTCGTTCATCAGCATCAGTCGTGCGGGCCTGGATCCAAAAAAATCACCCGTTACATACACGCTGTACAGGCCGCTGCGATTTGTTTACAGTTTACAAAAAATAGTTAACTATAGCATATCATTATGGGCCATTCCATGCCAAATGTAGCACGCGATCATTGCCGTCCTACCCTAATTATGGTTTCAGAGTGTCCGGCGGTTTAAAATATTGCAATTAAAAGGGGAGAACTCACAGAAGATGGAGAGTTCACTAGAAATTTGCAAAACAAAAATACCTTTATTTTTCATACAAGAAAGACTAAAGTGTTTACTTTCTGTTCGGCATGGAACGACCCTTGTATCACCGAAAATCATTAAAATCGGTGAGAATGTCACACATTGAAAGATTCACTGGGTAATTAACGACAAGTGAACCGTCGTTTTTATCTCCGTGTTTGCCAACTTGAAAGTAAAAAAACTGACATTTTTACGTTTCTTTTTTTATTTCCATCTCACCTCATAGAAGTTTTCTTATTGTTATAGAAAATATTTAAATAGCGGATGTTCTCATTCTCAAAATGATATATCGATTCGAAACGAAAATTCTGAAATAACCGATTGTGACTGTGTAGTAATAGAAGTGGTAAGAACGGGGTAATATCGATGCCAAACGCAGCCTCTGGTGTACAAACGAAAAATGGAAGAATTCAGAACGAAGCTGTTCTTTATCCTTGCGCGACCGACACGATACAAGATAGCCGTGTCATGTGGGCTACTCTGACGCCAAGGGGCACCACCAGACACTATTTAGAGGAGCACACCTACGAAACGATCGGTGGAGGACAATTTCACAAACGTGCCTGTTCAACTACGCCAACTGAACATGTAAAACTCAAGGCAATTTACCGATATTACCTTTGTATTATATATAGATATCTAGTAGTATTTTTGTTCCGTTCGTAACCACATTTCCGAATTTGGATATCCTTTCTTTTATCATTTTTCGTGGATCGTACGTTTCACGCCTGCAACAAGTGTTCTTTAAATAGCATTTCTTCCAGCTTTTCTGTTCGATTACAATCGACTCGTTGAAAATGTTCCAATTCGAGTGAAAAAACTATATATTGATCGTGGAAATGGTAATTCATCGATACTTCTATTTTGATCGAAAACAGAACGCGACGAGCAATAACTTGGAGAAACTGCCTTAACTTCAAAATTAGCGCGTTGCGGACGTTGCGTCTCCTTAGTAAAATAAACAGGGATAATAAATCGGTCTACAGCTGTGAAATGGGCCTTGCGCCAGCTGATCTCGTCTCTCATTCGTCACTGTTTTTTCGTAAACAAAGCCGCGGCTTGCATTTTCGCTAAGGAAAACGTTACTTCAAGTGTTGCTCGAAATAAAAATTGCAAAAATGCATTTGATACTTCTCGGTGATTTAACTGAAAATTTCATTGAAATCGGTTGACATTGACATAAACTGTGAACAATCGAAGTCCACGAAAATCGCAGTATTTCACAAAATCCAACAGAAAAATAGTTTTATACATTTTTACATGTTTCAGTGGCTGTAGCTTGACTATGCGTCACCCGATTTCGATGAAATTTTCATTATAAACTATTCCAAGTAACAGCAAAATTAAAAAAAAAGAAAAGATATTTTAGTCATTGTCCAGTTATACCGTTTTGAAAGGTGTGTGGACCATTTTGCTCCTCACCGTATCTCAGAAATGAGGGCCGAGCGGTGATAACATGTGTAGGGAAGAATTGTTGAGAACTACGACCGTGAGAACATATTTCAAGAGCACCGAAATCGATGAGAAATCGCTAAAGTAATTAATTACAAAACAGTCGTTCGTCGCAGCGAAATATTTAATGTTAAATTGTCGATTGACCGATAGCAATCTCCTTTACTAACCAATTGAAGAAAATTGCTTGGCCTGCAAGCCCTCTATTCTCTACAAATAGGAGACCTTCTTGACAAGTTCACCCGTTATGTAGTAGTAGTTTTTCACGAATATCTCGGAAACAAAGTCTCAGCGACGGTTATTTGTGTAAAGAGAAGAGTTGCCTGGAATGTGCAGTTTGCCAGTATATTTCAATCTGATCAATATCGGTGATGTGTGACCTCTTCTGCATAGTTACCATATCTATAAAAAAAATGTATCGTGAATTACAGATCAATATAATAGCATGTTGAAAATTTTAAAGTATCGTTTCATCCAGGATAGGGCTGGCTATGATACAAATGGAAGCATCAATGAATTACCAAAAATCAAGCTGAATGCATTTCCTATACAGGATAGCGCTCTTGGTTTTAATGTATTGCCAATTTCACTCGCAGAACGTAGATGTGTTTAAAATATCTGAAGACAGGTCATTGATCTTTCAGACTTATGCGGACCCGCCAGTTACCACCCCAATTCAAACCCGGCCGAAGGATGATAAAGCGTTTGATAACACGGCATTCGTAGATTACGAAGAACCGCTCTCGATAAAGACTGATTATTATCAACTCAATGACGTTTTGGAGCCGAACGATTCAGGCAATATTTCGCTGCTCGTATCGAACAACATCTCGCCGCATTCAATTTCACCGAATGATTTATGATTTATAGGGATACTGACGATCCAGCATAGAGGAACGTTGCGACCTCGTGTTAGCTCGCCGACGAGAATCGAACATCCAAACTTACCCCCGCTAAATCTGCATCCGAATAAGAGATCTTTTCGTAAGGGCTCTGCCATACTGCAAGCCTCTGACACGCTGCTCAGACGCAGCAGCATTACATCGTCCACCTATATACCAACCATATAAATTCGATATCCGATCATTTTTATATTATATATAAATGTCTTTATACGATATAAGCAACGTGAACGGTACATTACCGATTTGTTATCTGCACATTACCTTAACGATAAACATGTAATAGCCACGTAAGTCAAATAAAACGACGTAATCGTTGAATGAGATGTATAAATTAGATCTGCAGTCTTTGTACTCACTTAAGGCTTATGACTCTGAAACGTAGAAATGTAATAAAATTACACACACATTTAGACATTTAATATATTATTATAAATATATATATAATGCTATAAGAAAAGTCGCCGCAATACGAAACTACCTTGCGTCGATCAAATGAACAACCCCCAAATATCTCCGGAATGATGTATATACAATAATATTCTAATTTTTATTATGTATGAAATATCGTAAGACCTAATAAAATGTCGAAACACACACCGATGGCTCCATCTCATATTTATCAGGCAACCACGCATCTCTGGATAATATCATTTCTGTAACGAAATCTGTACAGCAGATACCGACCTGCTGACCTCCGTAAAGTCACGTGACTACCTTAGCCCCTTAAGACTGCAACCATACATGTACGAACTAAATCGTATAGAGCAGATTGCGAAGAAATGAAGAGAAAAATCAAAAATAGAAATATTATAATATTATTAATCAAAAATAGAAATATTATAATATTATTAATCAAAAATAGAAATATTATAATATTATTAATTATAAATATTATAATATTATAATATTATAATATTTATTAATGTTGCCTGAACTAGAAAATTTAACAAAGGAGATAATGACAGAAATTTCGCCGTCGATGTGGAATAACTTTTGCCGGCACGTGGAAGATATCGAGAAGAAATATTGGGTGCCAGACGGAAGAAATTAAGAGTTTACGGAGAATATAAATTTGATGAAAGAAAGGGGTTCATACGATAAGCTGCAAAGGTCTTTCGTGTAGGCCTTTCCGAGCCCAAGGTGGCGATATCAAGCAGAATTCTGGAGGCACCCACGACTGAAATATGTAATGTCGACGCTCTTGTTAGATTTTTGCGTATAGTTATTTGCTTATAAAATATACTCTTGTGTGATGCGTTACGTAATCATTCGTCCTCTCCGGAACCAATAACTGGCGCTGCGGATTTACAATCAAAATTTGGATAAACAGGCACAAGGTCAACTATGGCGGACGCGGCAGAGCAGGCAGTTATTAGCAGTCTATAGCAAATGCAATTTCTGTAGTAGCAGCAGCAGGACAAAGGTAAGTCGTAGAAGTACAGTGCTTAGTTTTGGGCACTCTATAACAAACGGAATACGATCATCGTAATTTTATCGATCGTCTGGTATGTCTGGAAACCTTACCAAAATTTCACAAATCGAACTGGTCGGTTCCACGGTAAGATCGCAATTACATGCAGATCACATCGAGATTCTAAATCTCGGATGTGATCGATCATAGTTCGTACAGCGAGCACGCCGCGCGGCGTCGCGTCGTTCGACGTCTGAAATTTACGTCTTTAAGACGTCTTAAAGACGTTACGAAGCGAACGATATTTCGACGTCTGAAGTTTACGTCTTCGAAACGTCTTTATAAATGTTACGAAGTGAACGTTGTTTCGACATCTCAAATATATCTTTGAAGTTGTTTTTTTTTTAATGTTTCATATGCTATGCTCCTGCTAAAGTAGTAGTTAAACACAGAAAAGGTCGTACAGGATACTATTCTTGAACTAAATGCAATTTATATAATGGAGACAGGAGAGTGGACGGTGTTACAATTTGTTGACGATGGTACCGTTGAAGCAGTGCCATCAACATGGATAGACGGAGACAGAGTGAACATTTATAGAAATGGCACTTTTGGTAAGTTACAATTATTGTACACCGTGAATGTACAATTCAAATAATGACTCTGTAATGCCTCTAGATAATTGTATGAAGGCCAGAGGTAAGACAAAAACAATAGAAGACACACATCTGCAATCGGAGATTGAGTCAACGTTGCACAAAAGAAAAAGAAAACAAAACATATTGGCGAAAAGTGATGGCTCATGCGTGGATGAAGAATGTACTCTTCCAAAAATAAAACAAGAGTGGGAGATCGGTATGTAAATAGAAAAGAAAAACATTTTATAAAATATACATAATTTGTTTGTACTTAGTATATCTTTTTGATCGAAACATATTTTATTTTCAGCTACTCCACAGATCATTGATGAAGAATCATTGAAGAGAGAAAGAGAGGAAGAAAATTATAGTGAGCAGTGTAGTATTGGTAAGTTAAGGAAAATATTTTAGAGATCAATAAGAGTTCGTTTTAAAAAGTGTAATATGTAACAAACAATTCATAGGAAATCAAGCTGTAAATACCTGCTGCAAAAGATGCCTGGAGAGGGATTCAACATTAAAGACAATAATAGAGCAGAACCATTTGATACGGGGTCTTTTAACAGATGTACTCAAGGAGTTACGGGAACTGAAAGACGACAAAAAGAAAGCAGAAGATAGAAAAAAATTCTTTTTGCAGAAGTTTCCACAGCTGCAATTCCCCTTGCGCACAGAGAAGGATATTTCAACATTTGAAAATATTTTAAACAACAGAGAAGAGTTTGAAGATGGAGTAAGTAAAATATATTGATATAATAAATAATGAATTGAAAATAACTGAAATTGATCTTTCATTTCCATTTAGTTAACGGTATTTAATATTAATAACTTTTTATTTTAGGTTCAGGAATTATACAAGATGGGGGGAGACAATTGTTACCAGTTTGTAAAAAGGGTGCTAGCAACACTCATAACCAATGACTTGGCATTACAGTATAGTTGGATGGGAAGAAAAGCAAAGAAAGCGTTTAACAAATTAAACACGGCTAATCTGATAATATGTAATTATCACCTACATGTTGGTGTTATTATAATGATGATAATTTCTATATAAATCAATACAAAACGAAATTCTTATTCAAGGTGCTGCAGAAAAGGCAAGAATCGCTGCCAATAGGAAAGACACTGAGATGTCCATTCAACAATGGCTGAAAAGGGCGTCCGACAGAACCAACGTCTATAGACGTATTTAAGATGCCCAAGTAATAGCCTTTACTTAAGTTAATATAGTCTTTACTTATACGTGTTTACACCTGTATAACAAGAAGGACGAGCACACGAGACATACAATATCGCCGCTATAGGCACGCACACATACATGAATGTCTGAATGATAAGGAGCATTCAAATCATAATGATGATGGGATCTACTGCATGCAATCAGAGCAAATAAATATCGACCCTCGCTGACGGATTAAGCTGCGGCCTGGAGGTGTGCAGAAGTAGTTTACCACGCGGTTACCACTGGAACTAATGTTCGAACAGTGTCGTGCAATATACAAGTGAAAATCACCTTAAAGGACGACGAGGTAAGTTAATATTATCCCTACCGAAAAATGAGGGAAATCGTTGGTGATTTATTAGCGAACAGTATCATTCGCGAGAGTGTTCCGCCGTTCGTGAGTCCTACTATATTAGTCGAAAAGAAAAATGGAAATGATCGGGATTATGCGTAGATTTTAGTGCACATTTTCGTGCACCTAAGATCGTCTTCGAGTATGGAAGGGTGAATGGACGGGGAAAATCAATGAAGTAGTGGTGATAGTGAGAAAGAAGATCACCGGTGTTAATAGCGTAGTACTCGAAGGTACTTGTGGGATATACAATGTATAATATATTATCATACCGGATGTAATATAACATTACATTATGTTTATAACAGATGTAGTTTCTTTGTATGTTATTTTATATATTGTGTTCATTAAACAGAAATTATTGGAGTTAAATTACATTGGGCTTGTTTATTGAATGAACGATTTGTGAACCGTGTACATGAAAGAAAGGTGCAGCGAGTATCAAATGTGAGAAGAAATTCATGATATTTCTTTGCATTCTTATTTTATTTGAAGGATGTACACATTATCATAGCTTCTCTCGCGGATAGTTCTGCATTTTTTTCAGTTTTCTCAGAGCACATTTTGCTGCAGTACATTTTGCAATTCTATAATTTCTACCGATCCCTTTGAAAGAACCTTTGCCGAAAACATCTACTGTAACTCGAACTCTTCGTCCATCAGCCAGTTTTTCAGGTGTTCCAAACTTTGCCGTTTCAGGCTCTAATTCCAGTAATTCACGAATTGGCGATTTAGGAACATTGGTACTAAATTGTTCTAGAAAGATAAAACACATTTACATATCGTTCTATTGGTTTTGTGGTGAAACATCTGTCAAAATAGAGGATTAACATCTCTTACCAATTTCATTTTTCATGATGGCATAATAAACGCCCCATACCGCGTCTAAGGACATACCACTATCTAAATAAATTGCACCAGCTAATGATTCAAAGACATCACCTAAGGCTTTTGGTACTTCTACATCCTCAGCTTCTTCGCATTCGTCTTCTCCAATCAAATAATACTAGAATTCATATTATGCGACGTTATACTTCGAAAGAAAGCGTAGTTTATGAATTTTTATATCATTTAAATAACATCATATTTATGTATTCTAAATTAGAATTCGACATTGTTACCTCTTCGCTAATGGAATGTCCATTTTCTTCCTGAATTCTCACAAAACGATTGATAACGGCACTTAAACCAGGAGAAAGATGACGAAAATATTTATGAAATCCACATCGAACTGCCAGAGAAGCAAATATGGTATTATTAACTAAAGCTGATCGCAAATCTGTTAAAGCACCTGGTGAATGTTGCCGAGTGTCTTCGTACAAGTGTCTTGTTATTAAGTAATCTAAAAGTACAAATTTCATATTTTACATCTGAATGGGAATTCCACTTGAAAATCTTGAAAGCTTGATGCTTCTAGACTATACACATACAATGTAATAAATAAAATTAGTATAATCCGTTTGTTACCTAAAACAGCATCTCCAAGAAATTCTAAACGTTGATAACAGTCCGTTAGTCTATTGGGTTGGTATGATGCATGAGTAAATGCTTGTAAAAGATAACTACTATCACGAAAGTTATAGCCTATACTCTTCTCTAGCTCATCATAGCCATCGAGCAACAATTTTAATTCTTGTTCCGGATCAGGAATGTGTCGAAGTAACGGGTTCTGTGGTTCTTCCAACGTTCCATAACGGATCTAGAAAAAACAAAGTAGCCATGACTTTCCAAATAAAGGGTTTAGTTTTTATGTATGCGGATTATTTACTAAAGAACTTTTAGCAAATAATTAACTATAATAACCTGCGTCCATGTTGTCTGTCCTTCTTCATTAATTCCTTTTGTATACGGTGTACTGCCGGGAATTCTTTCGCTTGGTTCCATGTCTTGTATAGTAATCACTTCTTCTGTAGGTAAAACGTGAATTCCTAGCCAAGCCATAAATAGCAGTGCACCTCTGGGGCCACATGCAATTAGGTATGCCCCAATTAATGCCTCTACGCAATCTGCGATACTTTTATCAGGAATGCTATGTTGCGTGATTAAATTGTAAGGTATAAAGCAACGTAAACTGTCGTCACTATTGTTTGGAAGTACATTATCATTACGGTTCAGTTCAATTTTCATAATGCCTAATTTCTGCTCGGTTTCTTTAACGAGTTGAGTTATGTCAGTGGGATTTAGATTTTGTAAGCTTGGCATGTCAGCTTGATTCCAAAGACTAGAAGGAATACCAGATTCGATTAATGCTTGTTCGAGTTCTTTTGGAACGTAGTAACAAGGAGGTAACCAGTTGTCGTGCGGCTCAAACTTCGTTGCAATCATGCTTTCTCCTAACATCTTTTGCCTTCCTAATCGGTATAAATTTAAATTACTGACCTAAAACATTTGACTAGAATTAAAAACAGAAATCATTCTACGACGCATACGATAATTATTTCTACAATAATACCTGTTTAGATCTTAAGTGACTGAGTTTGCCTTCGTGAATATTATCGTATGTACAATACAAATACGTGGTTATAGCATATTTTAAAAAAGAGTCTCCAATAGTTTCTAAACGTTCCAAGTTGATGCCGTCATTTGCATTGGACATTGTTAAAGCTTGCAGTATTAAACTGGGACTTGGGCCCGAGTGATCTTTTAATTCCGGTTGAAAGTCAAAACTAAACAGACTGCTATCCAAATTGTGCGTGAAGTCTACTTGATTTAAATTCTTCTTTATCGGTTGCAAACCGATATCGTTATTTAATATTTCCGCTTTGAATCTGTCGACGACCTTTTCGATGTAACTTTTATGCTTACAATTCAACCTAGTTTCCTCGGACGACACATTGACGGTACTTTTCCTTGTTATTAAAATATCCATATCGCTGGCTATAAAACACTCATTCTCTATTATTTCTTGTTCTCTGATTTTAGTGAATTCGTAATGAGATTGTTTGAACTTTTCAATCAATGTGTCCTCATTATCGTCTGTGTATGTCCATAAACTGTCGTCTCCCCTTTTCTCGATTTCTAATAGATCCAAGATCTTCTTATTAATTTCTTGTTTAGTTATTTGATTTTCATCCTCGACAGCTTCCGCAATATTTTCCCCCATATAAGATATTCGCAGTCCTCTATTGTCATCTTCGCTATCATCCGAAGAATCAACGAATCCGTCACTGTATATATCATCTGATTCGTATCCATCGAAATCCGACTCGCATGCGGGAGAACCGTATCGAACGCCGCTCCAATTAAAATCATTTGTCAACGCAGGCTGGTCTAAGTCGTTATCTCCAAACTCTATCGAAGCCATCGCCATGTCATTCGACCAAGTCCCAATTTCAAATTCATTTTCTTTACTTGATAATTGCGACTCGGTGTCCGTCACATTTTCATTTGCTTCATTTGCTTCATTTGCTTCATTTGCTACATTTGCTACATTTGCTACATTTGCTTCATTTGCTTCATTTGCTTCATTTGCTTCATTCGCTTCCTTCGCCGATACTTTATCGGGGGTTTCGTCAGGCAACTTTTCTTTGATAGACTCATTCGAAGAATCTGCCAAAGTTTCAGTCTTGTCTTCACATATTTTGTCAACGATATCGCTCTGCGCAGGGATCGCCGGTGTCGTATCATTTTTAGCCGCCTTGTTTTTGTCATATTCTTTCGACTTCTTTAACACCTCTGCTAAACTCCAGCCAAAATCTAATGCTGGCCATTCAAAGTCTAAAAAATATTCCTCAATCAATATTTATTTATACATTTATCGTACGTTTAATTTTGTACATACCAGACTCTAGATCCTGTCGTCCTAAATTTATGGCATCAGCAACCTGACACCTTATTTGATCGGCAAGTAGCAAGGCATTGATCCTGTACAATATGCATGGTAAGCAAACTGCTTGTCTCCACAACGACGCCGGGAAAGGATGAATTGCACATAATTCGGAAACAAGGATTTGCTTTTGTTCTAAATTTTCTCGTTTCGCGCGTTTCGTCTCTTCGCTACTGGTAGGTAAGGCAACACCTTTTCGATTCACATATCTGAAATGATATTATTAACTAATAACAGTCTCTTGATCTTGTATATAAAAATATAATATGTGTTCGTTGAATATTTACCGAGGCGTCAAGAAGTTTAATCTAGCCGATGTATGATCCACATCCAATAATGGTTGAACTACATTTTGTATATTGATATCGTACTTTTTCAGATAATATTCTTCGAATGTACTATAACCTTCTCCAGGAAAAGTTGACTTGGGGTTTAAATTTACACAGATTTCAGCAACGTAGAAATACTAAAATGGAGAAACATCTGTTATACCTTTGGACATAATTTGGTTAGTATTTGCAGCATTACATTCCCCCTCTTATTCGCTGCCCCACTACCGCGGTCATCGATCGCTATTGGCCGCAAACGGTGTAAGAGAGGGAATGGAAACGCACAAGGTGCCTTTTTTGTCGCGTGAGGACTATACAGAGATAAGTATAATTCTACAATTAAAATTTCAAACGCGGACTATAATAATATTTTGTGAAACTATGTTATTTAATGTTATTTAATTATTCTATTTCATCAGATAACTTTCTAGCCAGTTACCTGAGGTTGATCCTGACTTCTATACCAAGGCATAATCACTGCATCATGATATTGCGATGCATCGAACTTGAAGTCTTTACGAACCTCTTCCGGAATCTTCGCTGGGACAGAATTCCGACTGTTGTATATACACTCCAAGAAATCCCAATCTACTCTAACGTTTAATTCCTCCTCTACAAAGTTAAAAATACGACATTGTATATTATTAAGTGTATAACGTAAGATCAGCGATTTCTAAGAATGTTTATAATCACCTAGTCTTACAGGTACAATCATATACGAATTTTCAGACGTATTAGGATCAAAAAGCATTAAATATTGTTGTAATCTTAACACATTTGTAAAGGTATAATTGAGGAAAGCAGAAACTTTCTCGATCTGCGTGTCATTTAAAACTACAGGTTTCTTGCTGAGTTTCAATTTTACATGAACTTCTCCAGATCTGGTATAGATTGGAAAAGGGCATAGCTGAAAAAAAAAGAATTTGATATTAATTAATAAAAGAAGTAACAGCTGTACAAAATGTATTTTTCATGTGTTATTAAGTGTGTAAGATATTTCTAAAATTGCCTCGATTCAGGCTTATCGATATAGACTGTTTAGTTTAAGAAAAGTACAGATATAGGAGGAGGAAAAATAATTTAACCCAAACCAAGTGTTGGGACACCCTATAGACATTGAAACCGGCGTCGCTCCTACTTTATCGACTGCTGGACTTGACAGGCCATGCGACGCGATAATAGGAACTATCACACAAAGATTCATGCATATTAATGTCTAGATAGACATTTAATGTGTTAGTGTCGTCCCTACACGTTGCTTTCAATGTATAGCATTAAAGTTTCCTCGTGAAGCTTGCAAACTATTAAATACCCAAAGCTAATTATTACATTTTAAACCCTCTTCCCATCTTCTATACATCCTCGAAATGCCATCTTAAATTAGCGACAGGTCTCTTTCAGAAGTACAGCTAAAATTGTAATTAACATCTCGGTGACTTATATGCGTGTCGAAAATTTCATCGAAATAGTTCACTGTTATTATGAATTAGAAATATTTTTAAATCACGAAGAACGCACTTTTCACACTTATGACCAACAACTGTTAGAAATCTGCAGCTTTTAGAATCTTTCAACGCTTACAGCTTGACTCTGCGTTAACCGATTTCGGATGAAATTTGCAGCCTGCATATAAGGATATCGAGAACTACAAAACATATTTTTAAAATTTTCATTATAGATTCGGATAAAAAAGTCAAGAAATTGGTACAGTAATTATACGTGTTAAAGATTGAGAAATTAAAATAATGGGACCGCCGTGTTTGATCGTATCCTGATGTCGTCCAGTGGGGTTACCCTGGGATCGCCTATAACTCATTTCGCCGACACGATTTGACCGACATTAACTTTCGTGTCGACATTATGTTTTTATCGACACGGTCAAATCGTCGACACCAATCTGATCGACATTGACGACTCTCGTCGGCACTATGTTTCCACCGACACGGTGAAATTGTTGACAAATGTTTCCATCGAGTTCGTATTTATCGACAAATTTTGGTTCCTTTGTTTCCACGTAAGAGATTGTTGTTATACAGTCTAATCTGCGATGTTAGTACGATGTTAGTACATTATCTGCTATAAAATATGTTACAGCCTTAAAAGAGGAGTCAGAGAGCATACTATTATTTACGATGGAGGATAATACAAGGATTTTAACTGATACGAAATGTTGGATAATGGATGGAACATTCAAACTATGTAATTCCGTCGTTCTTCAAATAATTATACGCCATACATAGAAGGAAAAAAAATGCGACAATTTCGCTAGCTTATGCTTTATTAATTTCAAAAAAGGAACGAATCTATAGACTGTTATTAGTTAAAATTACTCGTACAGCTGAAGAATATATCGCTTTGATTTCATTAATTAATATTTATACAATTATTGCATAGCTTTGTTATATTTAGTTCTCGTTATTCGTATTATTTATTTATGTGTACACAATTACGTTTAAAATTCAGTGAAATATTATGAGATTCGTTAGTATGTACCTGATAGAGTTTGCCGGAAGATATTGATTAATAAAGTAGAAAGAAAGAAAAACTCTGGTATAAATAACAACACTTTGTAATTCATTTTATTTATTACGAAAACATTTGTCGAGGATTTCACTGTGTCGACGAAAATCAATGTCGGTCAAATGGTGTCGATAGAATCATTTTTGTCGACGATTTAAACGTATCGATAAAAGTTAATGTCGGTCAAATCGTGTCGATGAAACCAGTATCGGCAAAATGAGTTGTCGACGATTCCAGGATAACCCCAGGTAACCCGTCCAATAAGCGGATCCGAGGGGCATCGCCATATTGTTACGTACTCGGCCCAGACTCTGTAATAGGCGTCGCGTTGTTCAATGGACGGAGCCGCTAGATGGCAGCACGAGTAACCTAGAACCACTAGATTTTAACACGTACATTCCAGATCATACATACAAAAATCCATGCGAAGTGCAGAAAATTCCAAGCGCAGTCGGAACGGACCTCTCTCCGCCCCAACCTCAAATGTACTTTGTCTTTGAAATCTTGTATCACATAAGATTCTGTATATTTTAAATACTACGTGTTAGAATTACGATCCGAAAATGGCCGCATTTCCATGTCCGTGCTGCCATCTAGCGGCGCCGCTCATTGAACCACGTCTGTGAGCCAAGCACGTGTCAATATGGCGGCGCGCTAATCTGTTAAAGAAACGCTGAAAGTTCCTCATCTTTGGACACGCATAACTTTTGAACCAACGAATTCCTAGATTTGGGACACGAATTTTCGGAATTTTCTCGTAGAAATCGACAGAAATGTACCATAGAAAGTCGGAAAATTGGTGTCCCGTAAAACGAAGTTAAGCCAAATATTATGATCATTTTACAGTAAACTAGTTCCTCTAACATTTAAACAAAAAATTCAAATCGTTTAGTTCAGTTTTAAGAAAAGTTATACCGTTTTAAAGGGTGTCCACATATATTTGCCACGCACTGTATGTACATGGTACAACACGATTTTGTGTTGCCATTTTATTTGGTTGTGCTTACTACACGTGAATGTGGACGACACATGTACATATTTATGCGCTGTAAAATGGCGTCAACCTGATGAACACGGCTACCTGAACTTTACGAATTTTCGGGGCCCGACCTGATCCGACAACTCGGGTACCCGTATACCTGTACCCAACACTGCGATTCACTATGACCCCACTTTAAAAAATACACGCACGCAGAAGCATCGTTCAGCGTTGTATCGTTCATATCCTCTTTGATTTTAGGACCCCTATTTTTCGTCACACTTATAACACTTCTTTCGAGGGTACGGACTGGCACACACAGATTCACCTCGAAAACTTGAATGCTTGTTGGTCTCCCGATACACATTAATAAGTCAATCGTTGTCTTATAAGCTTAACTGAGATTGTCCGTAATATTTCAACTTATTATGAGCATATTCAGAATACGAACTTGCCGAATCACTCGTATAAAACACTACCTGGAACAATCGCTTTGAAAGTCGATCTTCTGACACAAACACCGAACACAGATCTTCCAGATTGATTGATGATCTTCCAGATTGATTAATGATCTTCCAGATTGATTGATGACCTTCCAGATCAATCCTTGTACAATTTTTTGACAGGGCCGACTAATGCAAGTCCCAACCGCTGATTGGAACAAAGTTGCTCCGTGATCGCTTCCATCAAGTTACATCACTTTCTGGCGTTTTCTCCAATGTCATTACCACTAAATTCCGGCATTGCCTCTACAGACGAAGTTGCTGCGGATGCCGAGGAAGATCCACTTGCGATAGCTTGCATAAACTACTGGAACGTATTTTCCATGGCTTCGACAGAGAGTTAACACAATAAATAAAAGAAAAAGAAAATGTAATAAGGCTCTGTCTCTAAGCTCACTGTCTTGGTATCTCACTTCTGACGTTAACGAAATATATTTGTAAGCACTGCGACGGTTATCCCTGAACGGTTCTGGGGTAAGAGCGAAGAGGTGAATCAAGGTTCTCTCATCAGAAGGCATCGCCTCCGTAGCCAGATACGCCAGAAACATAGTCTCTCCAACTGTTTGGCAATGTTACGTCGGGTCGCTTGCCTTATGTAAACATATGTATGTACTTTGTTCGAACAGACGACGTTCGGCACTCGACGACTCGACATTTGGAAATCCAACGTGGTCGCCGACCGTCGCGCGTTGCCGTCTCACTCATTTACCTTTTAGGTCTTAAGCAACAAGCTCTAACCAGGGACCGAGACACCTTGTAAGACATTAGAGGGACTAGTTTACTAGACATTGTTTAACAAAATTTTTTTGGAAAATTTCAATTAATTGGAATGACAAAAGAATAAATAACTCACGGTTTTTAACTCTTTTATCTAAGCTTAGAACAAAAAATCGGTTGACTTTGTTACGAGCTATAAACAATTAAGAATTGTGAAAACAGCAGTTCTTCTGTAACAATTCCATGAAGAACTGTTATTGATAGATTGTCTCTTTTTAAACAGTTCCGATGCAAAGGTTATTTGTCAAATAAAAACACTGATCCAACAACAATTTTGTTGATTTAAGGAAAATCAATTAAGGACAAATGTTTGTCTTATAATCGGAAAAATGCTTTCATAAATTCAGGCAAGTAGATAATATAAACTAACAAGATATAGTATCAGATATCAGATAATAAATCATTTTTAAAGCAGACTGATACAGGCTTATAAGTATAAATAATCATATCCTACATTTGTATGATTCAGCTAAATTGTTCTTACTAAAATTCATTAAAATAAAATCTTAAATAGCAAGATCTTATTAAATTTGTCTTGTACTATTTGTATAAAAAATAACAAAGTAAAAATAAAATGATAAAACGTCATTATTGTTAGTATAGCGTAAAATGATTGACTGCAATTTTAAAACATGATTACTGTAAAACGAAAACAGATTGGACATGACTTTCACTTCATCGTTTAAACTTTCTTTCAGTCCCTTAACATATTTCGAAAAAATATAAATCTTGTGTTGTATACATTACCTTAGGAATTTCTTTTAGTGTTATAATGCCAAAACCAATAGCTGATTCTTCAGGAGGATAAATACGTCGTCCCCTAGTATTTTGTTCTTCGGGTAAAGGACAACTCAAAACCATTTTGATGTGGTATAGGTAGGAGGGAACTCCAGCTTTCGGTCTACAGTCTGTTAACGCTTCAGCTGTCTAGAATGTACAATTTTCGTGTTTCTATTGAAAGATTTCAGGACAAAAAGATACTACTCTTTACTAATATTAATGCGAAGAAACCTTTTTATAGTAATATTGTCTTCGTTTAGTTGTTCCAGGCCGAGCTTCAGAGAAATCCACGTTACTTTCGTCTGGAAGCGCAGGTACTTCCGCATCTTCTGGTTTAGCTTTAAAATTTTCTTTCCCAATAGGCAGTAAATTATCATCTATTTCATTCTTCCTGTGTAAGTCTATACATAACTGTAATGCAGCCATCCGCCTCGCCATAGCCCTATTGGGCATAGGATAGGACTAAAATTAAATTTTCAATAAATTGTTTTACAGAGAAAAAACGAAAGAGTGCGTATTTGATTTATAGTAAGAGAAGTACTTACCGATATAATATATTTAATCGGCGAGTTTATGGGGAGTCGTAACGAACATGTATACATAGGCGTGTCGTCTACAATCTCTTTTGAAACCGACCATTCTGGTGTTAATCTTGTAAAAGTATCACTAGGTAATTTTGCACAATATCTACGTAAATAAAATAAATAGCAATATCAAATCAATTCGTACACTTTAGCAACTAAATGCTAGAAATATACGTATGCGTTTTCCATGCAATTATAATATTGCACTACCTGTTTACCAATGATATGGCAGAATTGAAAGTCACTGCAGGTACATCATCTCCTTCAAGTGGTTTATATTGTGGAATCAAAGTAGCATATATATCTGCCTCGTTTTCTTCTTCTTCGGTAGGCTCATTATTTGAACATTTCATTAATAATATCTGTAAAACATAATAATTTTCTATTATTATAAATTATGGATTCTGAACTCGAGCCTCAAGGCTACAGAATTATCGAGAATTTTACTTTCAGACGGACACGCGTCCTAGGACTTTTATATGAATCATACAATGAAGAACATGAATCATATTTGAATTAGAAATAATTACAATATCAAAACTAAACCGTGAAAAGAAATTAAGGTGACTGAAATGAAAGAATCGCACATCATAATTTTATACCTTTTCTATGTAGTGATATTGCGCTAATTGCCAGACACATTCTTTTGAAATTGCTTTCGGTATTAATATTACATGCAATGCATCCACAGCTTTTGCTCGACTTTTGCACTGTACGTACGATTGATAAGTTTTCGGAAAGTCGTATCTCATCACAAAATTACATTTGGGAATGTCAATACCTGGTGATAGTAAAATATTATTAGATGTTGTACGTAAACGAGATACACAGATAAATTACCTAATAGTAATAGAATAGCAAACCTTCTTCTAAAATAGAAGTCGAAATCATTAAATTACATTCATGTATTCTAAATCGTTTTAAAACTTCTTCTTGTTTCCTATATTCCACACCCAAATCTTTCGTATAGCTAATATCGTCTGGATTCCTTTCGATCGTATAAAGGGGTGACAAAAAATATAAATTTTCATCTTGTATAGAAACTTCGCGTAATAAATAGAATAATATCTTTGCTACAAATGCTTTATCCACAAAAATTACTCCACATAGTAAATCTGGATCCGTAACTCCGCGCAAATGACGTTGGGATTTAGGTGGCCTCTTATAGTTTTCTTCATTACTCTTCCAATTACATTCCGACTTTCTAATTTGTCCACTATTATCTTTATAAGAGCTGTCTTTGTTACTTACTGATACATTTTTTAAGTTATTCTCTTTATTTATTTTATCGTAAACATCTGCATCTTTGTTATAGTAGGGAGTATAAGTTTTCAGAACTTGTAGTAATCTATGAACCTTTGGCGTGGTGTATTCATATATTCTCTCTTTCTCAGTCAAAGTTTCAAATGCACTGTCACACATAGCTCGTATTTTTGTAAATACAGACGCTACCACGTTTAATAATAAATAATGCCTTTCATAAGGAGTCTTTATTTTCAATTTTTCTGTTAAAATTAAAAGAGCAAGTGCAGCACGATCAGCGCACCATGGTCCAAGTGTTTCTAATACATGTAAAAAATCTTGCATCATCTCAATAGGTTTTTCTGTTGGATCAGGTATTTTTTTAATGTCTTCATAAAATTCTTCATTATATATTTCCGTTGGGTCATGTCGGTGATCGCGTAAAAAATCAATAACATGTAATATACAATTTTTAATAGTATTGTGCAACTCTCCTGTTTCACTTTCAAAATATTCCACTACATATTCTTTAGGCTTAGGACTGTAGCTGTTAACAAAAATTACTATAATTACTATGGAATTCCATTATAACTTTATACAAATAAAATAAGATCTTCGGATGTCTTTAAATAATGTTTTCTGTGATAACACTTACCGTAATATAGATAATATATCACTAGCTGTTTCAACTTCGCATTGAAACGTAGCTTCTACTTTTTCTATTTCTAGCCCTAATCTTCCAGGTTCTTGAGTTAAGTTAAACAATGGTACTGCTAATCCAATTATTCTAGGAACATTAGTACAAGATAAAAACATTTGCAAAATCAATATTAGATGGTTATCTTCTATGGTCCTATGGCACTCGTCAACAATGACTAGATTTATCTCATGTGGTAAAATCTTTTTTTCTGTTAATAATTGTGCACACATTTTAGAAGTTGTAACTAGCACCTAAAACAAAATGATCGTGTACAATTGTAAGAAATTACAAGAAACATAAAATACAATGAAATGTATTTATAATGATTCTTACATGAGAGATTTCATATTTTTCTAAAAATTCTGTAGGTGAGCAAGTATCGCATAGTAATACTTTTAAATCCGTCAATAGTTGTATGTAACTTGCTTTCACTTTATACTTCTCTACATCTGTCAGTATGTATAATGATCGTTTTCCTCCTTCACTTAATAACCTAAATGATAGTTCAAAAAATATTCAATGAAATGCTAGACACGTGTACGTATACAAGATGTACGTACGTAGGAGATAATATTTATTTTGACTATACTATTACCTTCTATTAGTTGTAGCAAATTCTTGAATTAACTTTATGACAATAAAGGTTTGCTCATAATTTTTTCCTAGACAAATTATTGTATTTTTCTCTTTGGCAGTATAAAACAATTCAACCTGTAACAATTCAAATATTACATGAATATTTCATCGTCCCCTATCTAACATGCAATGGAACGTTTCTTACTTGATGTTCTCTAGGTGTAAAGGCTTTTATGTAAACTTGATCGTTAAGTGGAAATGCCATTGAATCTATAATTTTTCTACCACAAGAAGACAAAAATAATGTTTTTAAATATAAAAAACAGTCCACTTTTGTCTTGTTGCAAAAATTATAGTGAAACTTTCAGATTAGTTTAGAATGGTACAAAGATCTTATACATATTAAAAACACACTGTATACTGTATCAAACGACATTCAAAATAGCAACAGTCTTCGTCAAACAACAATACTAGCAGTTTGATTTATCATGTGATCAAGCTCTCATTGGTTCATTTCACATATAGTGTATGTACAACATTGAACATGAACACAGTACCATAGACGAGGTGTCAGTGTAGACTGGACACTATATGGAGTTTCGTGACAAATGCTCTGAAATACCGACATCGCTAAAAAGACAGAGCCACAGGTCACAGACTGTGCAAGCCTGTATCTTCTCAACTGATGGTAATCGTGTATGAAAAAATTTTCGTGTGGTACGACAGAGTACACTCTTGTCAGAATAATCAATTACACATTTCAATGGTTTTCTTTATTAAGCTGATACATATTTAACATTTATTAAGTCATTAAGTCGAAGTTATTTCGACTCTTTGATCATGTAACAGCAAATTTTCTCAAAACTGATCAATGTATGGCAATGACCTCTTTAACCACGTATTTTATTATAGGCATCAAAAATACAAATTTTAATTACTTCAAACTTTATGTGGTTCAGGCTTTCATAATAATTGATAGGTGTTTGCATGACGTAAACTATTTGTATAAGCAATATTCGTTCGGTTTATCGTTTTTGTGCAGATTCATGTGTACCGGTATAATATCGGCATTTTACATATTATATTATATTAGAATTATTTATAAAAACGTTAAATAAAATGTTATTCTTCATTCCAATCTTGCTTTCATTTTATTCATGTGATTGTACATTTTTATATTATTGTATGGAACATGATATCTCTAATAAAAATACCATGCTTTTTTCATTTTTATTTTTTTTTTATTTTATTGGTTTCTAATTTTCATAGTTTTTTTATTTTATATTGTGTTTGTTTTTTTGGGTTTATTTTTACAATTTTATTACAATTTTACAATAATATAAAGATACAATTTCGCTGTACAATTCGCATTAACATTATTCCGCATCGCTCCGCATAACCCATACTCGCACGCAAAGACGCTATCGCATTTCCTAACCCTAAAAATCCACCGAAGGATGACGATGATGACGACGACGATGTTCTTCTTATTCCAGGAGGATCCTGGAATTTCACATGGGATCCAAACGGGTCCCCACAAAAATCAGATCAACCTATGTGTGTGGGCAAAACCACTCACAATAGGGATCCTAGTGACCGAGTCCGCCGTAAGGCAGACTTCAGTGAAGATGATTGACATTAAGCCTATTATATGCTAATAGCCGCAGCATCTTACTTGCGAGAGAGGGTTAACGATGCTAGCCATCTAGCGGCTCGAGCAGGAAGCAGCGCAGACCCCCCCACCCCCGCTAGCAATAACTCCCGCCACTAGCAACAATTCGCACTAAATCTACCGCGGTCAAACGGATCACCGTTCTCTTATTTTGCAATTCTGCAAACTTCAGAGACTCTTTCATGGAAAATGCTTGAACAGATAACATTATTGCAGCAAGTATTTTATGACAAAAACATTACAAAATCGAAATAAATTCGATCTTCTCGCTTGTAGGAAGCAATGCATGTCAGGTACGATCACAATTTGGTACGTTAGTATGTAGCACGCGCGAATAATACTTTCCTATTTGTAACAGGTAACATAAATTATGTTAAATCGCAGCTTTACCGAGTTGTTTAACAAACAACAGTCTCGCCCGTCGATAATAAAGATCGTCGTAATTCACCGCAAGCTGCATTTAACCTCAAACAACGGTAAATAACGTCCAGGATTCGAGGCAGAAAATCTTAGATTGACTTCAACACGGTGGCGAAAGTTTAATGATTCTAGAACGCGCTTGTTGGCAGCAAAATGTTTGACGGAAACTAATATTTACTTATTGTCTTAAACCGTGAGCAACAGGCGCACAGTGAGTGCAGAAGAGCTTTCGAGCTGATTGATCGTATCGCTTTGAAAACGAACACGTGCAAACGGAACCGCTGAGAAAAAGTCTGCGAATGAAATGATATTTTGGCTTTCGGCGCCATCGATCGCTACTTTCGCAACTACGGTTCTATATTAACTAAATACTAAATACTTGTATATTATATATTATTATAATTATTATATATATTATTATATTATACTTTATATATACTTTATATTATATATTATATATAATATATAATATAATATAATATAAAGTATATATAAAGTATAATATAATAATAATATATATAATATACCAATTCAAAGCGATTTCTCTGTTCAAATGAGAACCGAATATGTAGCTAGCACCGGTGGCAATTATAGATGATAACCTATTTTGCAATCTACGTGCACAAAGGTGAATTTTCATGCGGATGGCATAGCAGTCGATGCGGCAGCGTTACACGTAATCAAAATATAGCCTTCGTTGGTAATTAAAACAAGCTTTTATTAATTGTTATTATTATTTGCAGCCGAAATTTGCGATCTTCGCTCGTATCATCGCTTGGCAGAAACGATCTATGGCGTTTAGAAAGATAAACAAGGTACGTTCTGTTTCGTTATCAGTCGACGAAGCAAGTTTTCAAGTCATAACGCATCTTGTCTCATTTTTAGAGGGAGTGTCGACCGCTGTGCGACGCGACGGCAGCATAATTGTAAACCGGGATGCGAAAAAACGTCCGAAATCGACGGGATTCATGTTCATACCTCGCAATTAAATAAGTCCGGAGGACAATGCGAGCAGATGCCCCGCTCTTTGTGAGACGCAAACGGATTATTTCACGGAAGACTTTCTTCTTTCATTTCCTCGTTCTCTCCACGTCTGAATCTCCGTCAAGCTGACGTCGTCATTGCCGCGGTGCCGTTTCCAAAGTTGTTATAACAATCCATTTAACCAGCGGCCACGGGCTCACGGGATTTTCTTTTAACGATTCACGCGTACCTGGCCGGAGTGCATTTTTGCGTCAGACCGATCCCTTTCATTCCGCAGTTTCGTACACGTGTCACGTGCACCTGCCATTTGCGGCAGCGAAAACAATCGCGGAGTCATCTTTGAAACTGGATGACGTAACGCTGTGAAAACAATCTTCTCTTGCTGAGCCACCGCGTTTTTAATGTCGTCATTAAAATTCTGCTGGAGCCCGGCAGATTTCGATGCATTTTGTTCGCGCAGAAGAAAAATATATAACAAATCGTAATTAAGCTCGTTTGGTAGACCCGTGATTCCAGGTGTCTCTGATTAAACTGATTAATTTTTCGCACGCTGTTTCTGTTAACTAGAAAAAGAGGGGCAAATTAATCGAGTCCTTTCGGTTCTTCTCTTTGGAACTTTTCTTTAGCTTTTACGAGTAAACAAAATCTCCAACGTGATCCATAATCTGGATCGGTACTTCTTCAATGTGCCCCGTTTCTTCTAATTAATGTCACACGCAATACGATAGAACCTTTTTTTTTTATCCGCGTAGTTTAACGCCGCAGTTAATTTATTCCGAAGTTGCGTTTTATACGGCTAGCTTTCTTTCTTCTTCTTTTTTCCAGTAGATTCACGAAGATAAAACGCGCTTCCTTAATTTTATCGTCACAGAATGACCCATTCTGTACGCCGTAAAAATAACGCTTTTAAGCTAATGAGTTTCTCGATATTTATGACGCGGGAGGAGTGCGCGATTTGAATTTAACAGGCGGTTACGCGAAATTGTTATTTAAGACTATGTCGAGCATTTTATACAGGCTCGATGGGTTTATCAGGACGAACGTGTTCTTCGGAATAGAACCGGGCGGCTTTGCAACGAGATTGTTAGGTTTTAAACTTAGCATATAAATGACATAGGCGTACGACTGGCTGACAGGGAAATTCACAGCAACCCGAAATTTGGCATTTCCCGGAGAAATTATTGTACTTCGACGTAGCTTCTGTTTCTTCAAAATATTAGGGGGGCCGGAAAGTAATGTCGTTTCTGCGCACATTTATCTGTTTGAATTTAATGTAAATAAACGACATAACTTTCCGGTCCCCCTAATAGTATAAAAATGTGCTGGCGATAATTATGGTACTTGAGTTATCGATTCACTGTGAACGAAACAGAACGTTGCAATAGTAAACAGCTTATGGTTGCCGGGTGATCACGGATGCGAGTGATTCATTACTTTGTAATAGGTGTCACGTATTTGGAACGGGCGTAATCACTGCTGGACACACAAACGATATTCATTTCAACTATTTAATTATTCGTACCGGGGAAAAGTAGACGATTGCCCTGATACACGTGCGGACAGCTTTGAACATAGTAGCGTTACCGAATATTGCGCCGCGTGCCGCATATTGCCGGCATGATTTATACATTCAATGAGTTTTGACGCGTTCCATGCGATAGTTCGCGCGATCCACTGTCACTTCGCTTACACTTACGTGGAAATACGTTCGAGTCGGCGGTGGTATCATTTCTACGAGCAATCTAAATTAATGCGCGTTTCGCGGAGTCCGCATTGTATCTATTTGACGGTAATTTTTGCATGGCAAACAAATGTGTAAATAAACGAGACGTTTCGATCCGTCTAGCTTCTGTATTGTTCGATGCGCGTTAATTGAACTGTCGCAATAATTTTTAATAATCTTCTTCCACCGTATTTATGTTACAAAACGAGACCGAATTGCACCGATCAATTTCGCAACGAAATCAGGATCAAAATGTTTACACATTTTTCTTTTGTTCAGACTTAGCAGGAACGTTGAGCAAGATTTATAACAGCTGTGCACGATCTTCTTCACCGTTGAATACATTTTTAACAACATTGTTAATTTATATTTCGGGGGAAACGCGGGACAGAGAACGGAGAACTAATTTAGGAGAATATGTATGTATTTCTCACTCTCTCTCTCTCTCTCTCTCTCTCTCTCTCTCTCTCTCTCTCTCTGTGTGTGTGTGTGTGTGTGTGTGTGTGTGTGTGTGTGTGTTATATGTTTCAATGAATAATTGAACTCTCTTTCCGAGGCGAATGAAGACCGCAATGTTTCCAAATGTTATTCGTTATTATTCCGTGACATTTTATACCTGAATTTCTATTATAATTTCACGAGCAAATGAATTATTTATTGGTACATTTTATATAGGGAGAGTTTATGCGGTTATTTTCTTTTTTACTGGAAATGCTGC